CTGATGCTCACAAAAATATGACAATGTTATGTTACCTGTAGTGCCACGCCACCATATTTCTTGTTTGGATTGAATGGTATAACATAATGGACTGATGATGCTGACCTAGCATCATCAAATCTCATTCCCATCTACAAAATACGAGTAACTAATACTTACTAGTTATAAATTTAATAGCTATAACAAGTAGTAATGAAAGATTAGAAAGAAACAAAACCTTATTCCCCCAGGAAAGAATGGCTTGTTCTGTAGGTGATCCATAAACCTCTGGTTCAGTGACTCCCTATAATTAATTATGAACTTTTTAAGAATAATTCATAGTAAGGTAATCATACTTCAGAATCTAATTAAATAGTTTCTGTAAAACTCAACATCATGATCCCGCCACAATTACCGTTTCAAGAACGACGCTGCCATTTGTGTTTTGGGCAATGCCTTCTATGATTAGTTCTTTAAGAAACGTAGGAAACTGTGAAGCACAATCCGTACCTTGCATTCTTATTCCTCCAGCACAGACATCAACCACCGACATCTGCTTATTGCACATAAAAATTCCATACAAAAGAATTGATTGCAAATAAAAGAGCTGATTGCATACAAAAGTAAAAACTTGCCTGATTCGAAGTTAAAATTCCAGTTTTATGACACACTATAGTTGTAACATATCCCATTCTTTCACATGCAGAAAATGTCTGCACCTAAAAGACATTTGACGAAGCTTAGCACACGTTGATGCTCTAACCACATTGAAAAATTTGGAATATAAGAGTAGAGTACCAAAGCGTTGTCTGTCATCATTTTTCTCGTTGTATTTGCAAGGCTGATGTAATGAGGAAAATGATAAGATGAGAAACAAAGCAGCTGTCATGATAAAGAAAAAAAACTGCAATGACAAAACTCAAGGTTATGCCACTAATTGAATACCAAGACTGCACAACCATATTACAAAACTACTTTGCCACACTTACCAGAAATTTTCTAATATGTATTTTAATTAAACAATTTTGAAAAGGAAAGGAGACTTACTTCATGAGAACAGCTATAGAAAGTCCGGCAGGCACTGCCACTATTATTGTCGCGATCTGCAAAAATTATGTTTTGGCGACATAGATACAAAGAATTACCATTACTGTGGCCACAAAGGTAAAGTTCAGAATACCCATACCCCAAAACTCAGAGATTTGATCACAAATTCTGCTGCTTCATCAACAGTGGTAATTTTGAGGATAAACATTGGAGTGCCATCTGATTTTTTGGTCCGACCATAGAAGTATCTGGAATTACAAGGGATGTTAGCTCCTTATTATTGTCAGGATGGAGCAATTAGATCTGAATCCAGAAGTGCGATGGGTACATCACATAAAAAGGCATACTTACCGGCATAATTGAACAACACATGCAACTGAAGCGAAGAAAACAACCAACCAGCTAGCATAAATTCCAAGCCATTTCAAGTATACCTAGTAAAAAAATCACAGGAGATAAATACGCAAACTATCATAGGTAGCAATATATTAGTAATCAATAGACCTGAAAGGGCTTTTCTTCATCAGTCTCATGGGGAAACTCCATTTTCGACCACCATACAGTGTTGGCTCCAACACTTGTAACCTTAAATAAACGGGAAAGAATAAAGTGAATTAGAAGATCAAGAACCATGCACACAGAAAGAAATCACGTACGTCAATTTTTTGTTGCTAAGAGTCTAGCATTGTTAGTCTCGTCCATGTCAATGTGACTTATCACTTTCAAGACAGATAGGCCTCATCTTTACTAAACACAGCG